TGTAGGGAAGGCAGATAGTTGGATTCTGTTCTTAGGATCCTTAGAGTCCTAGGAGATTTTTGTGCCTGGAGAGGAACACTAGCCACCATCTGTGCTTTATTTATTGTTTAATTTATTTACTTCATAAACCTACTTAAGCAAAAATTGTCTCAACATTTAAACACGATTTATCTAACCAAGTCAAAATCTACACATTTTACAAATCAAATTATTTAAACATTGATTGTAAACTTAAATCTTCCTATACATTTCAATCAAATCATCAGTAAGTCAGCTTCTCTAAAAGCATCAAGCATTTTGGTAAAGCACACACATCTCACAAGGATTATAAAATTTTTTACACCTACTCTTATACTCATTATAAAAATGGGTTTGTAGACCCAAGAGAAGGACACTATCTCAGTTCAGACCAATTTTTGAATTTGGATATCCAAAAGAAGAACATTATCTCAGTGCAGATGAAGTTTTGAATTATTAATCAATGAATTCTTGGTTGGGACCTGGGAAATACTTTATCTTCTAAGATGATGAAAATCTGAGCCAGTGCTTACCTGATATATCACTGGAACTTTTCAAGTCCACACTTTTCCCATGGATTAGTGTATTGTAACTGAATGCCTTTTCTTTAAACGATGTCATCTTTAAGTTTAATGACTATGATATGCAGATGTCCCAGAGATGTCCATGCCCAAACCTCTTATGTTTAACGGTAGAGGGACATTTTCTACGTAATTAAAGTTATGGGCCCTAAAATAGAGAACTTATCCTGGATTATCTGTGTGGGCCCAATCTAATCACAAGAACCCTTAAGATCAGAGAATTTTTGAGGTCAGAGATGTGACAGAAGGGTAGGTCAGAGAGGTTTAAACTGTGAGAAGGACTTGGCCTGATGTTTTTGGCCCAGAGATTGATGGCAAGGAACCTCAATCCTACAACCATAAGGAACTGAATTCTGAATGAGCTTGGGAGTGGATTCTTCTACTTCAGTAAGGAAGGCAGCCCCTCCTCCACCTTTCTTTTGACAGTAATGAAACCCTGAGCAGAGAATCCAGTCATGCTCTGCTGGACTTCTGACCTACAGAAACTGTGAGATAATAAATAAAGGTCAAAGTTGTGTTAAGACACTACTTTGTGGTAATTATTACACAGCAATAGAAAAACTAATACAATAACTTTACTGACATTCTTTACAAATTTATCTAGCTCATTTGCATTTTTTACAAACTTCCCCAATATCCCCAATATTGCTGTTTTCCCCAATATCCAATCTCCTCTTCTTCCTTATTATATAACTCCTGACTTTTAGCTGGGCATAGCTGCCTGGAATGAAGACTCTATTTCCTAGCCTCTCTCCCTTGCCTGGTGTGGCTAGATATGACTAAATTCTAGCCAATGAGATGCAAACAGAACTGTTAGAGGTACCTCTCAGAAAGCTTCTTTAAAAGGAAATGGGTGTGCCCTTCCTTCCTCCTTCCTGGGACTGTAAGGGTGAAGTAATGGCTGGAGCTCAAGGAGCTATCTTGGGTCAGGAGGTGATATGCTAAAGGTGGTAGAACAGCAAGAAAGAAAACTGGGCTGTGGCGATCATAAAACTGCCATCCAACCCTGCAGTCTTTATTTTTTTTTTTTTTGCTGTATGCGGGCCTCTCACTGCTGTGGCCTCTCCCGTTGCGGAGCACAGACTCCGGACGCGCAGGCTCAGCGGCCATGGCTCATGGGCCCAGCCGCTCCGCGGCATGTGGGATCTTCCCAGACCGGGGCACGAACCCGCGTCCCCTGCATCGGCAGGCGGACTCTCAACCACTGCGCCACCAGGGAAGCCCCCTGCAGTCTTTATTTGCAGATTCTTCTATGTGAGACAGAAATAATCTGCCATCTTGTTTAAGCCATTATTATTTTGGGTTTTACTGTTACTGTAATCTCATTATAATTAGTAGGGCAGTATAGAGGAACCCCTTTCCCAAGAAATGAAGGATCATGTTGGAGCAGTGAGCAGTTATCTTTTGGATGTTTGCCTAATTCATGTTCATGTAACACACTGTTGGAGCTTCTTTCTCCCTAGTTGTAATATATGACCAGATGGTGCCAATCAGTCTCTTTCATTTTTGGTACAGTTCCAACGTTTTCTGGAATTACTGAGAGCTCTCTGGATCCACCCCTCCCTACTTATGCAGATAAAGACAAATAAATGCACCTTATGAATAGATATAATATCTGCTATACTTATACTCTTCTACTTATCAAAATTAACTAAAAATATCCTATTATAGTCAGACTTCTTTGCTCAGTATACTAACTACATTTCTGTACATTGTATACTTACTTTTTCCTTTTTGAAAGTCACAACAGAGTTGTGGATTTTAAAAATTCACCTTGTTCCAATTAACAATATTGTTTTCCTTTTGATTATCAAATTGTCACAGAACGCCAATTTGTGGAAGCCTATTAAAATTGGTTCCTTTGCCTTCTCAGCTCTACCCTACATTTAAGAAAGTACCTTTGCTTTTTGTCTTCACCAATAGGTTCCAGGCCTAGAGTTATTTATGACATGGAGCTATTCTCCAAAGGACCTTGAGTCCTTTTAAAGGAGAATAATATTTGAGGCAAAGATTCAGGTGCTAAGAATGCATATCAGATATTTTCCTGATGTTGTTTCTATGCCACTTTAGTGACAAAATTTGAAAAAGTTATTTCTTTTGAAAATCACATTGGTATTTCCTATTTAACTCAGGCACTACCAAATCCTTTTTTATTTGACTCTGACATACAGTTTTACATTTATTTCCCCTACAGCATACCTGCTTGTATCCTGTAACCCCTGAACCCAGTTGTAATGTCGTGTTCTCTCTTTAGTGATCCTATAGGGTCTCACTGAGCATCATTTCTAATTACTTTATTGATAGATTCATCCATGCTGGGCCAATGGGACAGAGAGGTGAGACAGAGTTTATAATACTGACAGGAGAGTGGTTGAAAGGATGAATTATGGAATCCAAGGAATTTTAAGGAGGAGGATAAGACAGCACAAATCAGGAGAAAGAAGAGAGGTTGTGGGATAGTGTGGGACAGGTACAGTGAAGGTCCCTGAGAGAGCTGGGAGGAAGGAGGTGGTGGTCAGAGCATGAAGTGATTGAACTTGAGACTACAAAGGTGGAGCAGTTCTAGGAGGGGGCCACGGTCTTGATGTGTTCCATGCCTGGAGATCTACAATTGCCCACATGTGACCTACCTCCACCTCCAGCTGCCAAAGGAACATTTGTATACCCACTATCGGCCAAAGCAAACATACACACCCATGTCTTGGGTGGGGAGATGAGGGCCAGAGTCCATCTGGGATCTTCCACAAATAGGCGCCGGGTTCACCGTCTGCTGGCTGCCCCAATGTACATGAAAAATGTATACTGTGTTCAGGCTGGGTGCATGCCCCCTTCCTGCCGCACCAGCCACAGGCTCTGGGCTGCCCTGTGGCCCTCCCCACAGTTCTGCTACTGGCTGAGTCTCCCTCCTGCTCTAGTCCACACAGTGCTGGCTCAGCTTCTGACTGTGCTGGCCGAGATCTGTGATGCTGGCACTCCTCACAGGAAGGAGCCTGCTGGGTATGCTGAGGCTGGTCCATCTGGTCCCCTGTAGGGGCCTGTCAGGCTCACCTGTACCACCTGTTCCCAAATAGCACTGAGCAGGAAGCTGGGTTGGAGTTGGGGGGACAGGAGGAGCAGAGTCTGCAAAGTAGCACAGGCCTCCCTACCTGCCAAACCCTGCCCTGATCCTAGGGCTGCAGGCAGAAAGAGATGCCGTGAGAGGCAACTGTGAGGGGCAGGTGAAGAGGGGCAGGTCCTGAGACACCAGAGCTCTACTCTTCACCTTGGATGTTTGGCACAGGGTCCCATGCAAGGACGTGGAATAAAGGCAGCCAGAGGGAGGCTCTCTCCTGCCCTGCAGATGCTACTTCTGGGGCAGGAGAGGGCAGAGGGCAGGGGTCAGGGGCTAGATTTCCTTCCTTGAAAGGCTTGAGTCCTCAGAGTGGGAAAATGAGGAAGCCAGAGAAGCTTGAATATTTCCAGCCACCCAGCAGGTTCCCTCGACGCAGGCGCAGAGATACCCGGTCCCCGGGGTCCAGGGGCAGTAGCACAGAGCTGGTGGCTGCCTCCCGGGTCACGTCTGGGTCGTTGGCAAAGGCTGAGATGACAGGCCATGTGTTCAGCATCAGGCTTACCTGGGGAGGGGAGCCCAGTTAGCACCTCTCCCTAGTCCTTGTCCCGGGACCCCCACTTTCCTGAGGGCTTCCTTCCTTCTCTGCAGCCCCAGAGGGACACTCTGGAACCTGGGAACCTGAGGCTCAGAGCACCCTCCTGGGAGGGCTGAGAGGTGGCCAGTGTTGGACTCTGTGCCTCCTTCATAGTCTCTGCTAGGCGGGCCCTTTCCCGCCTTGCTCCTGGCCCCCCAGGATGCAGGCCAATGGAGGTCTGCCTGGGCATCCCCTGGGCTCCACTTATTTCCCCCTTCCCTTCCCCTCCTGAGCCGGGGATGGCACAGGGCCTAGGGTTCAGGTCACCTGGACAGTCTGGCGGTTGTACACCTTCACCACATGGAACCGGAAACTGTAGACGCCCCGGACAGGGGCCACGAAGGAGCCTGAGGCCCGGTCAAAGCCACCGCCCTCGTTCACCAGGACCTGTGAGAAGCGACCCTACTGAGTGGGGCTTGGGGATGCCTGGGGCTCGGGGAAACCAGGATTGGGGGGAAGGGGCAGTGAGTAAGGAAAGGAAGGGGTGGCAAGTAGACCAAACAGGAGGAATGCACAGATTCAAAAGCAATGGTGAGAAAGGGCAAGGAGCGTGTGGTGGGAATGAAGGGAAGGGAGATGGGCAGAAGGCTTGGGGGCAACTGGCCACAGCAGGGCTGTTTCCTTAGCAGCAGAGTGGGTTTGGACAGTGATTCCAGGTCTTTGCAGGGTAGAGGGATTACCTGGTCGAAGTATATGGCTCCACTGGTGCCATTGCCGATCTCCCCTGCTGGCTCGTGGTGGTGGCTTCGGACTGCAGCAAATGCCACTCTTCCAGGGGGTGCCTCTCCCAGGGCTGCTCCCCCTGGCCCCCCTGCAGCAGCTCGGCTGGGCTCACAGACCACCAGGCACTCACCTTCCAGGAGGACTGGCTCTGTCCCCTCCTGGGCCCACCCTGTCCTCAGGGCCATAAGGGTCAGGGCCAAGGTCAGCCAGGGGTTGAGTGAGGGACCTGGTGGCCAGTGTCGCTTTGCTCCCAGCATGGCTGAGTGGCTCTGTGACCCACAAGCCTTCTCTGTCTGCTCCTTGGTTTTGTCCACCTCTCCTCCAGACTCTCACCACCCCTCACGCTGCTTCTCAGCCCTCTCTGGGACTCATGGTCACCTGGTCTTGGCATCTCCCTCTCCATCCCTCTCTGTGCCCCACGGCTCTGTCCTGCCTCTCACTCCTGCTGTCACTGCAGTTCCTGCCTCCTACTCCTGCTGTCACTGCAGTTCCTGCCTCCTCGGCAGGGCACAAAATGACAGCAGCTGGGCTCTGGGAGGGAGAGGAGAAATGAGGCAGCCATACAGGAGGGCTACAGCCAAAACCCCAGGGCAGCCCCTCCCGAGAGCACTGAAGGCTGGAACTGGGACGACAGAGAACATGGGTGTCTGTGTGAGGCTGTGAATTCTTGTATGTGTATGTGTGTGAGTGTGTGCGTATGTGTGAGACAGCTCCTACAGCTCCTCCCCTCGCCTCACTCCTCCCCTCTTCAAAATCCATCGCAAGTCATCAGCCCTCTTAGCAGCATCTTTTCCACCGTTGGAAAAAAGGGAGTGTCCTTGTGTTTTCCCCGCAATTGTTTTGGTGGAAAGTGCTTGGTCCAACAGTGTCACTGTCCTGTGACCCTGGGCCCGTCTCTTTCTTTCCTTGGTCTTCTATATCTTCATCCGAAGGGACTGCATTAGTCCGTTTAAGGCGCTCTTCACCTCCATCTCTCCATGAAGTGGTTCCTCATTCCTGAGAAACAACTGCGTGGACCGATTGGAAACTCAAGAGCGCGGAGAAGTGACCCCGCTGGCTTGGAGCTAGAGCGGGCGAGTGGGCGGGGCCGGGGGGGGGGCGAGTAGGCTGTGGGCGGGG